AATTTTAAAAAAGTATATTTAAAATATTCAATGGAGCAGGAAATTTAAATTAAAATATTTCAAAAAATTTTTTTAAACAGGAGGAAATATCTCAATCTGTTCTGACTTTAGGGACATATTAAATTAATAATTTAAATAATTGCATCAATGTTACTGCATGTTGGTTTAGATTTGTTAACAATTCAACATATTGATAAATGCACTGTACGCGGATTGAATTTTATGATAGGTAACTTATAGTTTTATAATGAAAGTGAGAATAAATAATTCCTTTTTTGTTATAAGTGGTGTATGAATGTGTTCATCGCTTCTAAAGTCGGAGCAGATTGAGAGTTTTCGTCGTATTTAAAAAAAAAAGTTGAAATATTTTAATAAAAATACAACAAATGAACAGTCATATTTCGAGGCAAATGGCCCAAAGATTCGCACCCTGTAAAACCCCTAGTAGCCTACAATGTTTCTGGGTGTTATGAATGTGATACTTGAAATGGCGCAATTTTATTGGTTAGGTAGACAGAATTAATATTTTTCAGCATAAAATAGTCGTTGACTTCAGCTTGCACGAGAAGATGATTCAAGACATCCAAAAATTTTTTATAATTTTAATTGTAACGCATCCCTCAGCCGAATATGAAATGTAATCGACTACCCAATCAAAGTTTGTGAAAAATGGAACAAAAAACATTTAAACTCGGTACCCTCGAAAATCCCAAAAAATATATTAGGCATGGAACGAATCAGACCTCAATATTTCATCGTCATCATCAATAAACTTTATTGTATTAGGATTATTCTGTTACATCGAACTTCAATATTTCTATTAATTACATTGATTGATTATATTACATTAATTGACAAACTAATAGATTTTTGGTTAAAAAAGATACTTTTTTTCGTACGACACTCTATGAACAGTTAATTCCACCGTGTGGAACTCTATCAATTTTTTCGGTGTTCGATAAAATCTTGGAAATACTTGAGAGACAATCGGAAAAACGATAGACCTGTGGCGTAGCGTGGGTGTCAGCCGCCCGGGACGGAGGAAAATTTCGCCCCCTTATTTAGGTATTTCAATTTAAAAGACTAAAATTCAGTTTCGTCACAAAATAAGTAATGAAAGATTCCGTGCTCGTTTCAATCGGTCCGAATCGTAGGTGCGACTAGTGTTGCCACCTTTTCAAAATCGCTGACCCGGACGGCAAGTGAGGTTTGTTGGAACAGAAATTCTTGACGCATGTGCAGTGCATGGCGATTCTAAATCAGTTAGTTACTAGAGAGACTTGGGTATGAGTAACATAAGTAACTAAATGTAACATAAGTAACTAAAAACAACTATAGATGACCTCGCTCTATCGGATATTGGAGACGTGTACGAATACGAATCGCATTAAAAAAAAAAAAAAAAAAAGTCGGAGGGTTGCGCACGAAATTCCCAGACAAAATTAATAGTTCACCCGGACAGTGAGTCGATTTCCGAACTGTCCGGGCGAAAACCGGACGGGTGGTAACACTAGGTGCAACAAAAATATGAAATGAAATGGTTCAAATTTTTACAAGATATTATTATTATTTATTGCGAAATTTTGCCGCCCCCACTACGCTACGCCACTGCGATAGACTCTCGATTATCTATCGATACAACCACATACTTGGACACCATCTTTCCCGATACATCGGCTTACGACCTCGTAATATTTACAAGACTTTACAATATCGTAAATTGCGATATGCTTTGTAAATACGAGTCTTTTTGTATTTGGTAACTTACGATACGAGGAGTTTATGAATCCGGGCCCAGAATGACAGAGTGGTCCTTGAAAAGTTCCATTGAAGTTGCTCAAACTGTGTCGAAATATACTGTATAAAGAATAAACTAACAAACTTTCTTCTTTATATTAGATGAGTTTTTATGTTATTTTTGTAGCTCTAGTTTTGCGTTTCAAAATTCATATTATAATGACATGATTGAGTTGTGTTATCACCTGTCAGGACAGTCCGGGAATTTCCTAGAAATTATGAAATTACGATGAAACAAAGTTTTTGCAGATATTACAAATCTACACTATTTTAACAGCGGAAGAACTCACATTCACTGAAACTCATCTGCAATTCTGCCATGTTAGTCTGTTATTCCGACTTGTGGCGCGCAATCTGTCGACCTTTTTTGTTTTCCTATTTTGCATGTACACTTCTTCAATTTTCAATAGAGCTAAGTCATCTGTACCTGTTCTTTCTTAATTTAGGTTACTTACGTTACTCCTACTCAAATCCCTAGTCCCTAACTGTAAGTGATTTAGAACTAGCATGCACGTTTTCCTTCGCTTTGTAAAATGACATTGCGCATGCGTCAGAAACTTTTGTTCGAACAAACCTGACCTGCCGTCGGGTCGACGATTTTGAAAAGGTGGCAACACTATGATTAGTATCCACAGGTATCAATAATGTTTACAGAATAATTATATATATATATACAGTCTGTGTATTTTATCTCTCAAAAAATATTAAGGATTAATTTTTAAAAACATAACTTATTATGTAATGAATTAAAATATTTAATTAATTCTACCAGTAGCCTATACCTAGGTATTAACCAAAAATTGCCGATATAATTATTAAACAGTGCGTTTAATATTCGTTACTTAAATAAAAAATTATTAATTCTATAAATGAGTGTATTTTTATACATTTAATAAAAAATTTAAATATAGTAAATGAATTATCGAATATCTGAGCGTGATATTTAACATTTATTGTTTGTTTATTGGATAAAAACAATATGAATAGGACTTACTTACATTTAATTAAGGAACTTTCTTAACAGATATTTAATACAGTTTACTCGATTATTGTAAATTTAACTTATTCCTTGCTTAATACTTTTGTCTGATGATAATTTTACAGATTTTTTTAAGTTCGGTAGGTGTTTTCAAAAGTAACTTAATTACCAGTAGATCACAAACCACAAATTTTTTTATGATTATAAACATTTACATTCTTTCTTTTGTCTGTCTGTCAATTTAAAATTCTACAATATAATAGAATTACTGTGTACTGTACTGTACATTCACTTTTCGAAAAATTTTAGTTACAGTTCAGAAGTTTTCCAAACGTCATTTTTTCGTTATTATTGAATCAGTACAGAAAAGCACGTTGTCAAACCTAACAATCAAAAAATGGTGATCAGAAATTCTTTACCTTTTTGTGAAATCATGTGACAACAGTAAAAAAGAAAAAACTAAATGTTATTAATAAAATAGTGTTTTCTATTAAGTAGTATTTATTTTTGTTTCATATTAATATCTTAAAAACTATAGTAAAAAATATTGAACTGATACTACATAATTAGTAATAAATTAATATATGTAAATCATACCCAGTCAAATTCATTAATTCGGTTTCATATTTTATATTAGCCTGTTAGTCTATATATAAAAGTTTTAAACAGTAAATCAGACTAAAACAACGTAATAACATTTTTCAATTTATTATTTTAATTTGTAAATTTGTAAGTGTATTTGAATTTCCATAGTTTTAAAGTGAAAATTTTGTTTTATATATAACTTAATCGTTTTTCGATTACAATATAATTTGGCAAATCATACCCATATTAATTAAATTAATTCATTTATTATGGCAATTTACTGATCATTATGTCTGATTTATATGTCTAAGTTAGTAATGTTTTTAGATAATTTAAAGCCTAAAACATAAAAATGACGAAACAAAATATTTTTCTCCTTTTTTTACAATATGCTGCGAGGTAAATTATTAGCAANATAAATGTAAATACCCTGCACTGAGGTGATGTACGTAATAAACAAGGGAGCAAGCCGAATCCCAACAGAAGCTCTGTACTTCAGATATACTAATAATATATTCTAATTATACTAATATATTATAAAAATAGCAGATTGTCATTGGCAACAGCAAAACAGTGGAAACATCATTCACACTTGTTCACAGAAAGACTGTTGTTCACCTCACATAACTGCCGAACGGAAAGTCTGTTGTTCTCAACCAGTCCATTGCTCAAGTCACGTAATGGCTAAACAGAAAGTCCATTGTTTGCAGCATCCGTTATACAAGGCACCGCTGTATATATATATATATATATATATTTTTTTTTTTTTTATTTTTTACTGTCAAAAAAAACCAAACAAAAAGTCTTCAGAAGTTTTGTGTATATAAAAAAAAATATACACAACACTTTTGAAGATTTTTAAGCAGAAGAAGAATGTTTACAAAAAAGTGCTTACTGCATTAAAAGAATTGGGACCCCTTGTTGGGATCTCAACACAATATTGCTTTTCTACAGTTTACAGTATTGTTATAATGAGTGAAATGATCAAAACTACTAAAGGAATGTGAAAGATTACTCATATTTTTCATTTTACAATTTCTGTACACCTTACATTCATATAAAATGTAAGGTGTATAATCCCATTGACATTGTCAAAATGACTTCATTTTGATTAAAACTTTGCCTGTCAACTTTTCTCAAAATCACAGGTTACAAAATAACAGCACTATTTTATTAATAATTAATATTACATAATTTTTCTAAAGATAATATAAGATAGGAATCTAATTTCCTAACATTAACTAATAATTACAATAAGTTTTGAATTAAATTTAACAATTTTGTTTAATTTCTATTTAATAATTATTGAACTTAATTCAAAATAATAATGAATGAAACTAAAGGTGACTTTTTGCTTTATTTTTTAAACTCTAATCAATGTATTTCTACATTAAACTAACATTTATATAAAATTTAAAATAATATTAATAAAAAAACTTTCAATTCCAACATATGTTAGCAAAGACAATACCTTTTTACTTTCTATTTCAAAAGCTGTTGTCTTTGTTACTGCCTATTGTAAATTTACTATACTTAAATTGAAGTATTTCTATATGTAATAATAAACATGCAATTTCATTGAGATTATAGTACAAATATTTAGAAAGAGAAAATAGTTTAATTATGTATTTTCTTATAGGAAATTGAAATAATGAAAAGAAAATTAGATGAACAGCAACAGGTACAAACTACAAGTCAAAAAGTAGAAGATAAATTGAAAGTAAGTAAAATTGTGAGATAAATTTATACATGTATTTACAATTATAAAACAACGTAATAACATTTTTCAATTTATTATTTTAATTTGTAAATTTGTAAGTGTATTTGAATTTCCATAGTTTTAAAGTGAAAATTTTGTTTTATATATAACTTAATCGTTTTTCGATTACAATATAATTTGGCAAATCATACCCATATTAATTAAATTAATTCATTTATTATGGCAATTTACTGATCATTATGTCTGATTTATATGTCTAAGTTAGTAATGTTTTTAGATAATTTAAAGCCTAAAACATAAAAATGACGAAACAAAATATTTTTCTCCTTTTTTTACAATATGCTGCGAGGTAAATTATTAGCAATTGAGAGATTCCGTTACATAGTGCAAATTTTTACCACATGGTAATATTTTTAACACTAGCAAAATAAATCAACTAGCGATTAATGATACATCCGCGAAATAGCAGCATAATGTTAATGCTGTTCGACAGTGCCTGTATGGGGGATATAAAACGGAAAATAATTCCTTGCGTTATTTTCCAAAATTACATTCAGTCCAACAATATTTACCAGACCAGAACGGTTCAGGTCCTGGTCTGATAAATACTGTTGGCCTCCATGCATCATGGAAACATTTCGCAGCCTAGTGCAGCGAAAGAGTGCAACGATTCTAATTCGTTAGCACCGACACTTAGGATCCGTTAATAATTATATAATCAACTATTCCGTCGGCGGAAAAAAGTGTAAATAGAAAATGGTCTTCAGAAAAAGCTTTTTCGAAAATGTAAATTTTGCAGAATAAAAAAGTTTTCGAACAAGCACATCTTTTATTATTTTTCAGGACGTTAATTTTTTGTAATTATTAAGATAATTTTATAAATTCTTTTATAAAAACAATACTTTTCATAATTTCTTCAAAATCAAGCAGAAAAACAAAATTTGCATATTTATTCAATGACATTCATTTTTTAAAATTATGTATACAATAGCGCGTATGGCTGTACTCTACTTCCCCGTACAAGTCAGTATGTTTCAAGACCTTTCGCGTAAGCGGAAATAAAATACAAACGGGCGGATGGGCGAGAGGTTAACATTAAAAATGTGTCCTCAAGAATTATGAATTTGCTTTCTCTTAGAAAAGCTCTCTCATTATATTATTAATTAATTAATGATATAAATATCATTAATGCAGAAAGATGTTCTTAAACTGCTTGTTCTGTTCAATGATTGTTGTGCAATTTAAAGCATTGTTTTGATTTCTGAAAGTATAAAAATGCGTAAAATTAAACATCTTAATTTGTAAAACAAAATAATAATTTTTAATCATTTATACTCGTATTTTGTCAAAATACCTAATAAACGATTACTGTAATCTCTTACTAAATACAGTGGTGCCTCGTAGAACGTACGCCTCGAATAACAAATGCTGCGAACAACGGGCTTTTCGTTCGGCAGTTACGTGAGGCGAACAACGGTCTTTCTGCGAACAAGTGCGAATGATGTTTCCACTCTTTTGCCGTTGCCAATGACAATCTGCTATTTTTATAATATATTAGTATTATTAGAATATATTATTAGTATATCTGAAGTAGAGAGCTCCCGTTGGGATTCGGATTGCTCCCTTGTTTATTACGTACATCACCTCAGTGCAGGGTATTTACATTTATTCAAGTGTTGTGCAAATCATGGCTTCTAAAAAATCAGAAAGGTGATTTCAATTGAAACAAAGCAAGACATCATCAGGAGTGAAAATTGACAAAAACTTCTTTGCCAAATGGGGAGAAGTTCAGGTGTTTACCAACACTCATTATCCAAACAGAGCTGAGGCCAACAGGATCAATGATCTCTACAATGACACCCTTGCCCGTCATTTCCGACAGGTGTTGAAGAAGAAGAGAGAGAAACAGACTACCTTGGACGTGTTTTTCAAGAAGCCAGTCCACAATGGGGCAGAATATTTCAAATATAGGACTAGGCTTACATCAAGCATATGTTTTGACGCAAAAATATGGAAGCGTATAAATTTCGAGTCATTAGTTTTTAATTTTATTCTATATAAAGTCAGCATATAACTAACAAGTTTATGTATTATTTATGTAGTCATGGACGTAAGAATGAATATGCTTGTAATGATATTTTTTTACTAAATTTTTTTGTCAGATAACATTATTGATTTATAAGGATAAAAGAAAATAGCTTTTAAATATATCGTTGATCTTCACAATGTGTACTAATGAAAACACGACGTTTAGTATTGACATAAGTGAAATTCGATCATTTGATTCATTTTGGTTTTTGAGAGAGATGATTTATTAATTTAGCGACTTGAAACTAACTAGAAAATAAAATATAGTTACTAATAAAATTTATATTTATATCAAAATATTAAAGAATCGATCAGCAGTTTTAAATGGCTTCTTAAATAACAATCGAAACTTTTGTTGAAATCTCTGAGAATTGAGTCTATGAGTAATGTGCTCATAGACTCAATTCTCAGATTATCATACTACTGAAATCTAAATATCTTTATACGATATTTAAACTTAAATTGTATAGCGAAATTCTGTTTTTTTAATTGGAAAGATCTTCGAAAATAAGAAAGTTACATGTAGCCATGGCCCGTGTAGACCTATCGTTGTGATTTAGTAACATTACAATAACTTTTTTTGTTGTAGAAAAAGTTAAAATCCCGGAATATTACTCCAATTCTGGGATTTTCAGATCAATAACAACAGTCGAGTCCCAGGATACAGGATTTCGATTTCTCTGGAAACTAGTTCGTACCACAATTTCGTGCGGATAACCTGCGACGGTGTATATCTTGCAGAAAACCACAGAACGAAAGTACAGTAAAACTCGTATACCCCGCGCCTTCGGGGTGGCTGTTGAAAGTAAGATAATTACTATTAGGCACTTCAGAACATCATCTTAGGCATTAAAATATTTTTTGAGTTTCATTTTTGTTAATAAATTATTCTAGATATACATAAATAACCAAGCCCAAATATTCTATTAATTTCCGGGTTATTTGGACACGGGAATATACGTTTTGGCGCGAAAAAAATTTCCTGTTAATTCATTCTCATCATTTGACATTAATGTTACTTAAGTTAAAGTCACTGTTATTGTAAAAGCAATTTATAACAGAGTCGTTTCGCTACTTTTATAGGAAACGCCGTTTATTAATGATTATCTGACATTTTGTAAGTTATATATTTTTTCTAATTAACAATATTTAACTAGTTAAAAATTATCATCTTAGAATCGCAGAATTATTAAGATTTAAAATAAGACATTTTATTTAATAACAGGATGAATTATTTTTATATATCTGCAATCTGCAACTGTATGACTTACAAAAGGAGGGGGAAACTCCTTTATTTTTATTAACAGATTAAATCATTAATAAAGCATGTAATAATTTAACAGATTTAATAATTTGTTACAAAAATATAAATTTATAAAATTTTTCCGAATTTTATATTATTAAACTGAAAGAAGAAAATTTAAAGAAAAATAAGCTAAGGTATTTTGTTTCACAATCAACATTATTACAACGAAAATTGCAAAATGATAAATGGTACCATTTAAAATATAATTTTTTGCACTTCGTTTTCAGACTAATTTATTAAGGAAACCTTCCCTCAGAGTGTGAAGGGTAATTGTGAAGAGTTTCGAAAGAATTAAAATATTTCGAAAACAAATTTTATTGATATTTTATTGAACATTGACATTAAGTAACATTGATGTCAAATTAATGGAGAATGTTTTTCTTGTGCTGAAGCATACTAGACCGTTATTTGGACTAGTTTGGTCAACTATTAGAACTCTTAACCATCCGCTTTTTGAGGTTTCTTTCTATGTATCCTCTGTGTTCGGCATTTGTCTGCCTTTTTCGCCAATGATTTTCAATATCAATCTTTTCCCTTTACACTTTGTTTTTAAAATAATTTTTTTCAATTATACTGAAACATCTTCCTAAGTTATTTTCTCATATTTCTGTCTGGCATGGAAGGTGAAGACACTGGCAATTTTGATAATTGTTCTGCAAAAGATAGTAGATCATAATGAGCAGCAAAGATATTTTTTCAGATTAAGCAAAATAGCAGAAATTGTTATGGTTATGCCATATACTGTATAACAATGCTAGAAAGGAGAGAGTCTTAATCATTATAAAGAAAAACAATACTGACACCAGAAATTCTTTGCAGAATGATGGAATGTTGTCTTCTCTGATTACTTGTAAGTCTTTAATTCTTCATTTAGTTGTGTGATGCCAAAATGCACCTGAGCAAAAAATTTTCAGACAAGAAATCCAATGCATGTTTATATGGACTTTTTTGCTTAGAATAATTCATACTATCATCTCCCTAAAAGTTACTTGGATCATCATGAATGTTTTGTATGTAGATGTCCTGCTGTCAGCTATGTGCACAAGAAGTAAAAGCACTTGTGCAACCCTGTAGAAATCTGTGTGACTGCATGTATGCACAGCTTGCAAGTTGCAGTGGTTATCAAGAAATATTAAATTTATGTAATTTATGGCTGATTCTGATCTTTTGAAGAAAGCTAAGGCTGCTACTATAAGTTATAATGACTATTATTGTAAAAAGTAGTCTTTTTTTTATTCAAACTGTACCTGGACTGTTGCATATACCTTTAAATGTACTATACTGTACATGTATTGTAACTTTAATTTAGTCAGAATAAAAAGTTAGAAATGTTCTATACCAGTGGTTCCCAGACTTTTTTTTACAATCCGGTTTGAACATTAACAAATTTTGCAACTCCACAACAAATTTATACATACAAATTTTATTGAATAAATTCTATTTAAATTTTACTATTTTAGAGGAAAATATTAAAAACATAAAAGTAACAACCAAAAAAAATTAATTAAAATAAAATTTCCATAGATAAATTTTTAATTGTTTTACTATAAATTTGAAAATTATCATTTTGAATTGCCTGCATTTTTGACAAAGCTCATAAAATCAA